GCTCGTTCCTCCAATGTCTTGCATGATGGTAAGCCAGATCCCTCCATCCAGGAAACCAGACGCATAGAGGCGAGGGATAACATCCCCTTGCAGGCTTTTCAATCTCGCCATCACCCACACTTCACGTACCATCTTCCGCAGCTTGTCGGGAGCCTTGCACACGTCCACTGATTTGAAGACAGCCTTTTCGCCTTTGAATCTCCCCTGAAAGACAGAGACTTGTTCACCAGAGTGAATCTGACGCCAGCTCGAGAGCTTCAAATCCGAGAGCTGTAGTGTGACAATGTCCTCAATGTCTTTGAAGCTGAAGTTCATAGATCTGCAAAGCTCTGACATCTGTGTACGCAGATCCACAGCCTGTTCCTTGTAGATCCTGGACCGAGCATTGACTGTGCTGGGTCCAGCTGAGTTATACTTGATTCGTTTTCTGCGTGGAAAAGGCTGATCCAAACGCTGCTGTGGCCGAGGCAGATTTGACTCCTGAAACATGAGGTGCATCAAGAAGAAGAGAGCTTCGAAAAGAGTCGGCGATCGTGCGCCGTGTGGTGGCGAATTCATATCAAAGACGACGTGATCAGAGACCTGGAAAACGTCCTCCTCACGGCTCAGCCTGCAAAAAAATGCGCGCTTAATGCTTGTAACACAAGCGTACCCCGATCTGTTGTAGTATAAATAGCCAGCCGCTCGAGCAAATATCTTGTGGGCATCACCACCCGAAACTGTCAGACCCTGCAGCAACACGTCTGGCTCGAGCACAAGAAACCCTCGAAGGGTATTTGTTGCAAATGCATTTGGCGGCTGAGAAGTACTTTCGTCCGCGTTGCCATACATGACGAATGCAGCTTCGATATGGGTGAGATGGAGTCCACCGCCAACTTGAAACCGTCTGTGGTACTCAGCAGACAGCTCTTGCACCGGAATCACAAGGGACGCATACAGTCTTGCAGATGCCTCTTCGCGGTTTGTGGTTTCAGCACCAACTAGCGGGTGAGGATCTGTAAAGACTGGGGCGCTATCCGGCTGTGAGTAGAGCGCGGAGAGAAAGAGTTGGAGCTCCGACGCGAATGATTCCCATACCTTGTAGCCACCGCTGGGAGTGTGCTCTCCTATAAGACTGTCACAAAGCGGAGAGGAACCTGTGAAACCCGGGCTGGGGATGTGCGTTCGAAGCAAAGAAAACAACGACACGGCCATCTAGTAACCCTAGAGAGCCAAAAGTAAGCCTTTCATGTATTAAGGAGTTTACAAGGTGCGATTAAATGTTTATAAATCATTTCTTCTTTGCCAGCACTTCGAATAGGCGCGAGTCTGAGGATCCAGAGGAGCCACTGAGGAAGATCATAGAGAATGGTCAGTGATCCCTTTGTATGAAAAACTGTATTGAATTTCGGATCATTACTTTTGCTTTGATCTTTGGTGAGACAACGACCCGAATGCGTCTCATAAGTGAGGATGATCGTCATCACTCGAGCAAACTCTTGGAAGAATGCTATTAGGGTTTGCGAGATCGTCGCTTTTTCGATTCAAACGGGAATCTTCTGATGAGGTTGATTCGATCAAGTACATTTCCTTGCAGATGTGAACATCGAATCGCCTCCTTCCAACGGTCAGGCGCTGTCTCGCCATTTCCTTCACTGAGTAATCCCCTCTTTCTCTTTCTCCTTGAAAGGATCCTTACACCAAGTCTACTTATTGAACGTTGGGAATAGTATAGAATGCTCCAGTAACTCTAGTACAGCATAGTAAGGGCCGGGAAACTGGAAGCAAGCAACGAGAAGGACGAGCAGGAGTCTGGAGAACTAGTCGGGTAACAGGGATTGAGGGTATACGCAAGAAGAAAAATTCCAGCTACAGTCTGGCGCTTAGGTGCTATGCTAAAAATGTGAGAAGCAAAAGCTTCTCACTCGTCGCTGTCGTTTCCTCCTCGAGCGTCCGAGTTATCTCCGGGGGTCCGACGCTGCTAGCCGAGAAAGGTCCTTTTGCGTGTAAGAGCGGGGATGTTATCAAGTTCCTTCAGGGCCTGACGACGAACACACGAACAAACTTGGGCAGGATTCTTCAGCAAGGTTGCCCGCATCCCACTCTCAAGCAGGCAATCTACTAAGCCGGTGTAATCCACGGAGAAGCTGGACACATCAGTAATAGGCCCCGGGAGCGAGAAGTCGGCTCCGTAGCGGACGCTGATGCAGAGACTTGACGATCGCGCTATTCAGGTACGTTTCTTTATTATTTTGTTAAGGCTGTGATGTATAATGTGTGGTTTGCAGGTGATTGCTTTGATATGCTATCTAAACGAGGCCAAGCATGATCGAGGCGTTGTACCTTCATCGGTGTTGCCAAATTAGATGTCAGATCAAACTTGCATATACTGGTACTCCTGATGAGCGGCGTCATCTGTTCAGCGCACGAAAGCACGGAAGTTTGTTCATGACTGACTGTTGATCGCAGTTTATCTAGGGAACGCTAGCAACGATTTAATATTCTTGTGACAAACAATAGACCAAATTGAGTAGGCATTACATTATAATTGACAAAGGCCATCGGATAAAAAAGGCATCTTGCAAATTCAGGTACTTCACTAGTTTCGTTCTAATGGTTCTCATTTCAAGGTGAAGAACAATCTATGCAATCATCCTTACTTTAGCCATGTACATATTGTTTTACAATTTCCCTTAACATCTTGGCTTGATCGCTCTCTTCACAGGCCGAAAGCTTGTTACCTTCTCATTATCTTCCTGTTATTCGTCTTGGCGGGAAGCTGGAGATGCTTGACATAATTCTTCCGTCAGGTGTTTTAAGCGTGAAAAAGGAAACTCCAGCTAGTTTTTAGACCAAGTGAGTTTTCTATCTATCCTGACATGTCTTAGTTAACCTTCACATACAGTTTTCCTGCACACGACAAGGAAATTGATCCCCTAAAGGAAAGCGAAGGGATTTCTTTCCCGCGGCTAAAATGTAAGAACGGCCTTGTTCCTTTTCGTTCTATAGCGTAATGATACGGACAGCGCTAAACTTTCGACTTTGCATTCGACCACGGCCGAATCAACCGAGGTTGAAAAGGTCACCTTATCAACGGAAGGTATTATCAAGATGCTACCTGATAACACTTTACCAATTGAAATTCAATCCCCAACACGTTTAACCGACACTGAAATGTAAGCAACGCTTATTGATCGATGGTAATGAAACACTGTTTTGCAGGTCCGAGAACCATGGGTATGAAAGGGCTACTGAGGTACTTCAAGCTGATAAAGACATGGACAAGGAGAATGTCCCTGAACCGGCATGTTTGAAATTGGCTCTAGGCTGGATGATGGCAGTAGACGGTAAGTATCTTCATTATTTTCGTGATCAATGGGGCTGACTCTTGTTTGATATGTAGTGGTCTTTCTCTGCGTGGGGTCTAAGGCTGAGGAAACCTTTACTCCCAAAGGATCTGACGAAAATGGTGACAACAGGATTCCTGAGAATGAACAGCCATGCAGAACAGGAGGAAGGAAATGCTGAACGTGTCATTGTGGAGGACACACAAATCAATCTTCTCGATTCTCCCTCAAGCTTTGAACCTGAAGTTGGAGCGGATCTTAATGAAGTTGAAGGCTGAAAGGCAGATGAGGGAAAATCGAGTTACGAGGTCGTGGAATGGGACATCGGCAGTGCTATGAAACGTTTTGAGATTTTCCTACTTTTCTCTCTATAGTTTTTATCATGTCTTATTATTTTGCAGACACTGATGCTGGTGAGGATGCGGAAACAATTGGGAATATCGAAGCTCCAGAGAACGAGTAAAATACTTTTGTTTTTGTGCTGGCGGTCAAGCTAACGGTTTTTCTTGTAATTCTTCTACTGAAGAATTAAATCTCAGATTGGCCACGAGGATGAACACTATCAAGTAAGTACCCTTTTCTTGTCTAAGAAATTCACCTTAAATACTTTGTGATAGTGAAATTGGCACTCGCGAGGACATGTTACCAGAAGTAGTCATCGAACCTGACGAAAGCACAGCTGTTGATAGTAAAGATCGTTTGGAAGACAATCCGGATGCAGTCTCAGGAAACCCCGGCTAGTGAGCTCATGAATTCACCTCCATGCAGTGCAATGTGACGGAGGCTGAGAATGAAGTTGGTAATGCAAAACCAACGAAATTGATGAAGTATGAGAGATTTTGTGTTTACTACACTCGACATGACGTTACGTGCAGATGATTTGGTCGACAGTGGTACGGTGACCGTCGGAACTGCTGAACTAGTTTTTGAAGCCACGGAACTAATTAGCGTCGAAGAAACAAGTGAACAGGTGACTGAAATTGTCACGCCTACAGAAGTTACTGCCGTCAAAAAGGAAGCTGAAACGATGGAGCATTCTACCGTTGATATTAGCCTCAGTGGCTGAAAACAATCAAACGGAGGTCATTCGTGAAGTAGTGACAACGTCTCACGTAACAGAAGTGGCTTCTGGTTCTTCTGAAAGGTAGCGTCATATAGTTTCTCATTGTTTATGGAAGTTATCTGTGTGTCTGTTAAAACTGTGACAATTTTGTATAAGCGTAAGCTGCTCACACTTCAAACCTACGAAAACTCATCCTTTACAAGTCTCTATGTTTTTAATCTTTTGGGATTTGCAATGTGTACTCCTCTCCCCCTGAAGTATCATACACTCCAGCACCAGATGCAGAAGGCCCTCAACTATAGCACTCCCACTGAAACCTCGGATGTGGTCCTCAGGATGAGATCGCTGCTAAAGGCAATCCAGGGTAAACTACATTCACCATTCTTATTGATTGTTATTTCTCACCTCCTATCTTATTGTTCATACACGCACCGAAAGTCTGGAACAAGGTGTCGATACCGGGGATAGTTCGAAGGGTGGCGATTCAAAGAGTGATGTTGGGTAAAAGGAAGCTGATGAAGCCACAGGAATTAGAGGTATAGTAAAAACTTGAAACGAAGTAACCAAGTAGATATTCTGTCTCAGAATATCTAATCGTTAAATTCCGCTCCGGAATATCCAGCCCCTATTCTGCCCTCTCTATCTCCTAGTAGTGTTTTTTCTTCTTTGCTTTGATCTGCTCGAGAGTACGCGGCTGAGGCGACGCGGCCAAGGATCGATCAGGGCTTCGGCGTTCCAAAGCTCCGGTAAGCGATTGGGAAAGCTTGTTAGATTTCCTTTTCTCCGCTTTTCCTCGCTTAGATTGTGGGCATTCTGTGATTTTGATCGCTTGCTCATAGTTTTCTCTTCTGGTTTAGGAGATGGGGAAGCGTGGAGCGGCGGCAGCTACGAATAAACAGTAAGATATCTCGCCCTGGCCGATTTCGCCATAGCCGAGCTTGGAATTTGTTTTTTAGTTTTCTAATTTTTTGTGGATCAGAAATGGGAAGAAGAAGGCCCTCTCCGTGAAGGAGACCAAACCGAAGGCAGCCAAAGCGAAGAAACCCGTGAAAGCAAAGGGGAAAAAGGATCCCAATCAACCCAAGAAGCCAGCCACCGCATTTTTCATCTTTCTGTGAGAGCGTTTTTTTTTTTTTTTTTCGTTTCTTTCGTTTTGCGCTGCTTTCTAATCTTTCTATCACACAGGGAAGAGTTTAGGCAGACGTACAAGAAGGATCATCCCGACGTCAAGGGAGTTGCCGCTGTAAGCATACCTTCTTCTCGAACTTTGTCTTGTCAAGAGATTTTTTTTTTTTGGTTTTGTTTTTCTTCCCTCGTCGTTCTGGTGATCTTCATTCTTGCTTCTCACTCGTGCTGGTGATCTTCGTTCTCGCAGATAGGAAAAGCGGGAGGAGACATGTGGAAATCTTTGTCTGACAAGGTACACGATATCTTCGCTAGTTTCCGACGTGTTGAGAATCTATTTTTTTTTCCTCGTCCCATGCAGGAGAAGGAGCCTTACCACGCCAAAGCTGCCAAGAGGAAAGCCGACTACGACAAGGATCTGGAAGCATACAACAAAAAGAAGGTATTTCTCTCGTGCTCGTTCGTGCGTCTTGATGGCTTCCTCAAACTTTCTTCTCTCTTTTTCTTTGAAGGACAACGAGGAGGAGGAAGAGGAGGAGGAGGAGGATGGATCCGCCGGAGAATCAGAGGTAAAATCCAAGTCTGCTGGCAATGACGACGACGAAGAAGTATGCTTCTTATAAGTTTCTAAGTTTTCTAAATCTCTACTCTTCTCAGGAGGACGCGGACGATGACGATGATTAGATGTCGAGAAAGCCATCGATCACAACCAGATTCAAACAATGTGTATGCATTCTTTCTGGTTTAGGCGCCATTGCTTGGATGATAATCGCTGTTTTTGCAGGTTGTGTTTAGTCTCTAGTTTGCAATCTCTTTGCATAAGAGCTGTGAAGATTCGCTGATTTATTCATTGCTCTTTTCTTGTTCCTTTGTGCAGGATCTCCAAAGCTTTCCTTCTTTTATATGCTGCTTTACACCGACGAGTTTTTCAAACACACACACGCACGCACACTCACACAAAGTTCACGAAAGTCTGGCAGTGTTTTACTTCTACTGTGTGCGAGATGAACGAATAAAGAAAGATATACCAATTCAATCCATTTAGAAAAAAGCTTCCCGAGAAGTTAGCAAGCATTGAAACTGACAGCCGAATTGTTTTGTTTCGATCAGTCAAAGAAGATAGCGCTCACTTTGTCTTGACTGAAACTCCACTCGTCCCGGCGATGATCACGGCAGTCGCCATGTCCAGGAAGAGGCCGTGATCAACGACGCCTTCCAGGGAAGAGATTGCTTTGGCTGCTGCTCTTGCGTCCTTGATTGGTGTCTAGTGGAAGGAAGACAAAATCGTGAGTGTTGCGAAGATCAAAAACACCATTACCTTGAAGTAGAGGTCCACAATGTAGTTAGAGTTGTCAGTCACGTAAGGCTTGTCTCCGTCCAACCGAAGCTTGGCCTGTTCCAAAACGACGGGAGCTGCAGAGTTGCGAAAGAGAAAGAGAGATATAACCAACCTCGCAGCCGGCGACTTCCGGGAGGGTTTTCAATCGCTCCGCGTTGTATTTCCAGCAAAACTGGACGACTTCGACGGGCATAGCCAAGCCACTTCCACCAAGACCATCAACCAGCTGCAAGAAATAAAGGATCAAAACCATGGATCGCATAGAGAACTTTAGACTCTTACCTTTGTCTCGTCCACAACAACGACGAACTTTGACGAAGCTGCTTCCACCATCTATTTTGTTCAAAACCGACCGCAAAAGGAAGGAAGGAACTAGATTGAGAATAAGCAAGGAAAGCAAGAGACAAAACTGCGTACTTTCTCACGAAGAAGAGCTCCTCCCCGTCCCTTGACAAGATTAAGATCGGGGTCGACCTCGTCCGCACCATCAATCGCGAGGTCTATCTGCACGAAACGCTCGAGTGGTAAGTGGACGTTGTTGCTTCACAATCTTGGAACAACCTTTGGATGATCATCGAGAACCGAGAGCGGTATTCCGAGTGAAGCCGCTTGCTCAGCAGTTCTCTACACCATTTACACGCACTGGTGAACATCGGAGAGTGATTCTCTTCCCCAAACCTTTGACGTGGGAACTCCAACAATGTTCTTGAGCTTTCCAGACTGAGTAAGACATTCCAGCCCGTGAGAGCTGTAGAAACATGGAAACGATCGTACCTTCATGAGTTCTCCCAGCTTTGCAACTACAAACGCAGCCGTGGAGCCCGTGCCAAGTCCCAAAACCATTCCACTCTCCACGTACTCGATCGCCTGCATTGCAAAGAAGAAAAGAAAACTTAGAGCTCGAAGTGGAAAAAGAACAAGAATGGAGAAAAGCACGGGAGGAAGGAACGAGAGCGAGACCTTATCAGCAGCCATGGCCTTGAGCTCATCTTGCGTGAGAACTTTGGCTGCTACATTCATCAAACCATTTTCGCAATGCAAGCTTAGAACATACAGAAAAGAAGTCCACTAAAAAGAATAGTTCCAGGGCTGCGCGAAGAGAATTTGGACGAGAGAGGGCAAATGCGAGTGACTAGCATCTACTGCTCTCACCAGAGGCAACGATTGCTCCCATAGAAGTGGACCTTCTCCTCCCGCCGGCGATCCCCCGTGTTCTAGCCCACGAGAATCTGGAGATTCCGGGGGCGAAGCTCCTCCCGCAGCGGCTCCAATCGATCGCGTCCCGGGGCGCGCACGGCGCCACGGAGGCTGCCATAATCGCGGCAGCCATCATTCCAAGGAATATCACGCCTGGATCCGAGCCATAGCTGTGGTGGTAATATAGTGGGGGGCCCTGGACAGGAATCGAACCCGCGACTGCATATTCCGACCGTTGATTTTGAGGATAGGGTTAGGGCTCTTGGGCACGACCGATTCTCTCTTGCGATTTGACCGCGATCCTAGAAAGTGTTATTCCAGACAACATATGAGAGAGAATTTAGGGCTCTTGGCACACGTGAAGAATGCGATAGTGGCGGTGTGGCGTGATCGCGTGTCCTTGTGGACTGGCACAAGTGGTGGCGTGGATCGATTGACACTTGCCAGCATGGCATCCGGGCGGCACGAGCTGCGATGGCGGATTGGGATTGACTCTTAGCGGGATCGATCATGTTTGGCGGGATTTTCGACGAGATTATCAAGAAGATTGAGGAATGGATCTCTGGCAAGGGCCATGGCGGAGACGATGCAGGCGAGCGCGATTTGCTGCCGGTGCTACTCGTGCCTGGGATTGGCGGCTCCATTCTCAATGCCGTGGACGATGACAACAGCGACAATGCCGAGCGCGTTTGGGTGCGCTTGTTCTTTGCGGATCACGAATTCAAGAAGAAGCTGTGGTCGCGCTATGATCCGGCAACGGGTAAGCATTTGAAACTTGAATCGTTTGGGAGGTGGGACGCCATTGCTTTGCAGGGAAAACCTTGTCCTTGGATCCAAAATCTCACATAGAAGTTCCAGACGAGAACTATGGATTGTTTAGTTGTGACATCCTCGACCCCGCTGTGGTAAATGTTTTGGTTCTTTCATTCTATCTTTTTCTCGACTCACAAATTTTTTTCTCCACCAGTTCATACGTCTAAACATCGTGTATAACTTTCACGATTTGATCGAGCAATTGGAGCAGTGGGGGTACAAGGCAGGCACGACTTTGTTTGGCTATGGCTATGATTTTCGCCAGAGCAACAGGTACTTGGATTTGTGTAAGTTCGCTCGAATTGAAGCTATCTATCGGAATGGAACAGGCTCCCAGAGGCAGTGGATGGTCTTTTACGAAGACTAGAGGCCATACACAAAACCTCAGGTGGGAAGAAAGTTAATATCATTTCTCATTCCATGGGAGGACTTTTAGTGAGATCCCTCTTGGCACTTCATTCTGCTGTAAGAGAAAATTGGCTCCGCAGTTCTCTCGGGCTTATGAGTTTTTTGCATTTTTGTCAGAGCTTTGAAAAACTTGTGAATTCTTGGACGACAATCGCGACACCTTTTCAAGGTGAAATGCTGTTTCTTTTTCTTTTTCTTTTTCTTTTTCTTTGTTGCACTGAAACTTGGAATTGCAGGGGCACCGGCGTTTGTGACAGACTGCCTCCTGACTGGAGTGGAATTCCTCAAGGGATGGCAAAAGGAACTGTGGGTTGCAAAGTGGAGCACGCATCAATTGGTAACAAAGCTATCTGTTTCAGCTTTGATTGCTTCAAGAGATTTGTTTTGTTCATTTCAGCTTGTCGAATGTCCTTCCGTGTACGAGATGATGGCATCTCTCACGCATGAATGGGAGCGCCCTCCACAATTGCAAGTCTGGAGGCGGCACAGAAAGCATGATAACAATCCCAGGCACGTCAAGCTACACTCATATGGACCCCTCGAGTGTGTTTCTGTGATGGAAGCTGCACTTAAAGAGAACACGGTTAGTGGTATTTTTTTCTTTGGGTATACTGGTAAACTAAACATTTTCTATGCAGCTGAGCTATGATGACAAGACGATACCCATTCCTTTCAATAGATGCATTCTAGAGTGGGCAAATGAGTCCCGCCGTCTATGGTTCTCTGCAAAGCTTCCAAAAGATTTTAAGTTCTACAACATATATGGCACTTCATGCAAAACTCCATTCGACGTCTGGTATGTCTTCTTCGTTCTTCATAGCCAACTTTCATTGGTGATTTTTTTCCACTGTTTCTAGCTACGGGAGTGAAAAATGCCCTATAGTGGAGCTCAAGGAAATTCTCCATACTGAGGTAATGCGAAGCTCTTTTTTAATGCTTACTCAAAGAAACCTTGGACTTTGCAGGCCGATTTTAAGTATGTGGATGGAGATGGCACGGTACCATCCGAGTCTTCCAAGGTAACCTTCTGTTTCTATCACCCGGTTCTAAACTCTGCTTTCTTCATAGGCTGATGGATTCACTGCAACTGCGAGGCATGGGGTTCCAGGCAACCATCGTGGTCTACTAAGATCAAACGCGGTGTTTCTCCTCCTCAAAGACATCCTGGAGATCAAAGACAAAGAGAAGAAGGTTGCGGTTCACGCTGCCCCACACAAGTCCGAGGAAGCGATTGAGAAACAAGCACAGTTTTGTCTCAGTGACACTGCCATGTCCCACAAGAACAGCAACTGGGACGCAAACTCCGAGGATAGCCAAGATTACAACAGTGGTAGCGAGAGCGAGGACAACACCGAAAACTCAGTAGTATTCACCATCAACACTGAGGATGCTAGAGCTCAAGCTCACGCTAGAGCCACACCTCATGAGCCACACAAAGGCTTCGAGTTCCATCACCTCAGCGTTTCGGCTGCCGGTGTGGCAGAAGGAAGCGATCGAGAAAAGGCTGCCATTGCAGTGGAGAAAGCTATGGCTTCCGCCACGGCCAAGCTCATGGCATTGTACAATATGTAAAAAATTGAAAAATACCATGTAAATTTTGTCAAAGTGATGTGAGAGGCTAGATAATAATACTATAGTAATTATTATCAGTATGAACTTTAGAAGTAATAACATACTAGGAGTTGTTGAGGTAATAGCAATCAAACGTTAGCAATCTGCCCAAAAAAAAGTTTGTCATTTTTTTTAGTTAAAATATATAATAATAAATAGCTTTTTACCTTTATATAAATAATTAAATGGCTATAAAATTAAATTAATTTACAGTTAGAGAATTCTAATAATTTGCTACATGTTGCATGGAACAATGCTTGATTTCCTTAATAGTAGTGTTATTCTCATTTAGTATTATTGAATAATTTAATTAATAAATAATACTATTATTATTTATAATTTATAAATCAAGATTAATTTTATTGCATATCAACTAAAATAAACAAGAATATACTAGGAAGTGAAACATGTTTAAAAATCATAAAATTAATCCAAATGAATAACAACCATTAGATGGTAAAATATCGTAGGTATAGATTGCATATCCTGGCCGTTGATCTTGGATATAAAGCCCACAATAGGGCTAGGGTTTGTGGGAGTCTTTTAGGTTAGAATGTGTGCGTTTTCGGTGATGAGATCTTCACACAAGAGCTCCATCTGATGCTCCTCCGGGACATGGAGATACGGTGAATCCACACGAGATTTCTGAGAATTGCTCTTGTTCTGGAGGATGACCGATTTGTCTGATAGATTTATTTGATGTGCAAACATTGGCACTCTAATTTTTTGCTGACAGAACAAATGGTTTTCTCGAAGAAGTGAAGTTGGGGCAGATGATTTCAATCTCTATGTCAAACACCATCTTTCGGGACAGAATTCTTTTGTGTTGACAAAGCATTCGTATGATGCCCCATTTCTTCTTTCGATGGTTGCTTCATCTTTACAATGCTCTTGCAAAAAAACCCAGGAAGAACAAATCCTTCTTATCCAATCCGGAAAATTTTGCTTCTCATCTATCAATGTGATGGAAGATTAGCCTTTGCTCTTTCTTCTATCCCAGGCGACGTCTAGCACTGGCCGGACGACGGGCTCGGCAAGCGGCGGCGCCATGGGGACAAAGATTGTAAGAACACCATCTTGGCAGCCTGCTCTCATGGCATCCAGATTAGAGTTCCCTGGGAGCTGGAACTTCCGGATGAACTTGCCCATTGTGCGCTCTAAACTTATGTAGTAAGCACCGGGTTCATCGTTGCGGGATCGGCCGCCAGAGATCGTCATGAATCGATCGTTGACAACATCGATCTGTCGAGAAAAAGCGATAAAAATCCGATCTTTGAAACAATCTAGACAGAAGCTCTACCTTGATGTCCGTGTTCCTCAATCCTGGAACGTCTGCTACGAACATATAGGCGTCTGGAAACTCTTTGACATCAACCGCAATGCTCTTGAATGGTGGCTCGCGTTGATCCTGTCCAAGAACAAAAAAAAAAGCTTCTCAAACCATCCAACTCTAGAAACAAGCTTAGAATTTACCTTGATCAGTGGAGGCGGCTTTGATCCGATCGACGCTTTCTTCGCAGTCGCGGGATCCATGCCGCCACTGAGCGTGCAAATCACTTGAAATCCCCTTGGATTGAGGTTGGGATTTCCCTTCTTCCTCTTGAGCCATGCCGCTTCCACACGAACAACCTCGCGCTTGATCAGCTGCCGCTCCAGCGGCTTAGCTTCCGGTCCTCTCCAGCCACGCTCACCTCTGTCGTCGCTGGTGGAGCCGCCGCCACCGCCGCTGGGGGCTCGGGAGGAGCGGTCACATCCTCCTCGGCTGGTGGTGGATCTGGAGCTCGCGGCTCTGGATCTGCTGCTGGCGCCTGCTCCCGCGGGGATTGCTGAGGCGATTGAGTGGGAGATCTCTGCCTGGGAGATCCGGGAGCCGCAGCTTCGCTGGCCATCTACTCGAGCGCATCGCTCTCCTCTAGGGCTACGCCCTTTCCCTAAAGCAGCGGTGGAGATCATCCACGCCGGGAGCGACGGTGGCGATTTCTGCGGGAAAATTTTAAATTCAAAAGATCTCAAGAATGCTAGTTCTTCAAGAGCTCGACCAAATCGCTCTTCTTCATCTTCGAGAATCCAGTGAGGCCCCGAGATTTGGCGATGGATCTCAAGCTCACCACTGTTAGCTTGGCGAGATTCACTTGCTCCTCGATCGATGCTTCTTGGGGCTGTTCTTCGTTCTCTTCAATCGCTGACGATGAAGCTACGATTTGCTCCTCCTGCTGCTGGAGGATCTCTCCGCCAGCTTCATCACTCTCGGTTTCCGAGTCGGTCTCCTCCTCGCTCGATCCACCATCTTCTAAATCCTCGCCCTCTTCCTCCTGTTCTTGGACTGCCAACTTGGTCGATCCTTTCAGCTGAGACGACGAAGAAGGCGCTGGAGCCCCCGCCGTGGAGACCGACTGGAGCTTCTTGAGTATCGAAGAAAATGGCACTGGGTCCACGATTCCAGCTCCGCCTTGGACTGGAAGCTGCCGGATGATCTTGTTACTCGGCTTGTTCCTCCGGGTTGGCGGTGGTGGGTTCCTCGTCGCCACTCCCAGCGTCTTGACCAGCGTCTGGAGCTGCTGGATGGATTTCTCCTGCTGGGCGCTGAGCTTGGGAGCCGCGAAGGCATCGCCCTCTTTCGCCTGGCCGACGTTCTTTGGGAAGATCTTGTCAAACCAGGCATCCGCGTCCTTGGAGGATTGATCCTGCTGGGACTCTCCGCTAGGCCTGCTCGTGCTCGCGGCCTCGAACAAGCTCGCCCACTTGGACGCCTTGCCCTGTTCCTCGATCGCATTGCTCGCCTCCACCATAACCAGTGAAGAAGAAGAAGACGATTCACTCTTTCTTCCACCATCGCTTCCCTGCCGAGAATGTCGCGATTCCACCGGCCCTGTCTCGAGATCCGTGAATGGAACGCAGCGGAGAGGCCGCCGCGCCGGGACTGGCGATTGCTTGACAAAGAGCGATGGCGGCTTGACGGGGCAGGCTAGCTCCCCATTTTTCCGGAGCGAGGATTTCTTCTTCCTGGTGGCCTCGATCAGTACTACCGGCAGCGCTCCTCGCAGCGCCACGGGGAGAGATTTGGCGGCCGAATGGGGGCGATGGTGGTGATGCATTTTCGGAGAAGCGGCGCTCCGCGAGGTCATGGCCTGGAAACAGAGAACGCGATTAGGCCTTCCTAGCGCTGCGATGGCTGCGCGGACTTACCAGCTCCCAGGACAGCTCCACCGCGATCGCTCGCTCCTCCTCATCCGGAAGAAGAAATATTTCGATTCCTATCCAGGAGTTTTAGGGTTCTTGAGAAATAAAGAGCTCAATGGCGGAAGAGGACCACGACTGGGACGCGCTGCGAAAGGATGCCACGAAGCTCATGGCGGCGATCTATTTCCAGGAGCAGCAGCTCGTCCTCAAGCGCAGGTAAAGCAGCTAGAGTCGCTGGTAATAGATCGCGATCGCGCTTCTTGCTTGTTTGTAGATGGCTGGGACGAAATTGGCCCGAGACAACGCTGCGCGTCATGGATAAATGCGCGTTTGTTGACGATGAGAAGTAACTATTCCTCGCTGCTCGTTTTATTTCTTCTTTCTTCTTTGTAGATGTATTGCTGAGTCGTTTCTACGGAGGGATGATAGTAGCGTAAGTTCTTGGATTTCTTTCACTTTTTTTTTTCTTTTCTATCAGTGCTACATTTCCAGGATGGCTACTCTCTGATCCACAACGTAGTCGAGACAGCACTCGACCATTTGAAGGAAGGAGACGATGATAGTGAGAATGCGCTGGACGTAAACAATCTGGACGGGCTCTCGAATCTGGAAATCCTGGAAGGTCTGCCCACGCTGATAAGAACTCTACGCTTCTCAGAGGTGTCAGCCTTGTTCTCGACGCTCACGCAAGACACAAAGAAAAGGAAGTATCGGGCTTGGCTGGAGCGTTCCATCCTGCAAAAGATCGGGCTTAGACTGGGAGAGTCTGGAGAACAGGGGCTGGAAAACGTAGTAAAGTTCTTAAGAGGCTTGAAGGGATCGCGAGGGAAACGAAAACGAATACGGTATGATACGGAAAAGCTTCCGGGATCCACAGCAATGGAGCTACCTCGGTTTCCGGAGGGGTGTAGTCGTATAGAAGCTGCGAAGTTGATACTCTCGACGCTACAGGACTTGCCACATCGCTGCTTGCGTGCGATGGCGGATCTCTTGTCCGAGCAGCCTTACGAGCAACAGCAACTATATGTCGTCAAGATCGGCGGTACCCGAGCAAAACTTGTGGCGCGCGTCACAAGACTTTGCGAGAACTTCTTGGAAGAGGCTACGCGAGGTGGCTCGGATGGCTTGCCACAGCCTTTGCAGAGGGCCTTGTGGGTGATCAGTCTCCATGCACGTGAAGTTCAGGGGCACGACAACCAGCTTGTATTGAAGCTAGATGCTCTACACCCGGACACCGAGCTGCTGCAAACAAAGCTACTCTCGGCCATCGCCCAGCTCCACGCACTTCCATTCGAAGAACTGGAGGCGGTGTATGAGACTTTGACACAAACCAAGAAGAACACGATGAAACATCCAGGAGTTTACGTCGAGTCCATCAAGAACATACTACGCGAGGCGCTCTACAGATGTACGCGTCAGACGGTACCCGAGTCCGTGCAAGAGGCCGTGGACATGGTAGTGGCAGCCAGACCGCGAAGTCTCAAGTTTTCAAGCGTAGCTGACACCCGGAACCCGAAGCGCAAGGAAGCAGAAGTGGAGGCTGTGCTGAATCTTAGCAGCGAGCTGGCGCAAGTGAGCTGGGAGTGGATCGAAACACAAATGTCCGCCAAACAGGCCGACGCCGACGACGCTGACGACGATGACTTCGACACCTTCGACTACAGCTTATGCTCGTCCCAGCTCAAGATCGAAGAGAATCCGGAAGAAAAGGGGAAGATCAACTTCGAGGATGACGAGCAGGTGGATTCAGTCGACAAGGATGTCACTGGAGTTGCCGACGAGACTGCTGCGCTTGCGTATGTTCTGATCGGGCGAGCCATGAAGGAGAAACTGGCTGGAGCTCTTGGACCTCGCGCTACAAAGTACCTTCGAAGCGGCGGGGAAGTATTTGGAGACGTTGAGCCAGGTTAGTAGCCTCTATCGTTTTCTTTTACGCTCACAAGCTTTTGCAGAGCCAACGACGTATGGAGGCCACGAGAGTGAAGCTGACATGGTGCTCTCGATTGTAAAGGAGCTGCCATCGCTACCAGAGAGGTAAGCAACGTAGTTTTATTCTTTCAAGTAGATCCCAATCGATCCACTTTGGTTTTGTGTAGCGTCGTCCACAACATTGAAGTTCGACTGAAGGAACTCAAGCAGCAAAAGTGAGTCTCAAGCTCGAGGTTGTCAGTCTGATCTCGACTTGTTTCTTCCATTCTGTAGATAGAAATCTCCGGACAACCAGGGGAGAAACCTCGTGCACAGCTTTCGTGAGATGCAACTTGGAACTTCCGGCTCGTTTTGACTTCGTAGAACCCGGCCAGCTGCCACAAGGCTTTACAGGCCGACTCAAAGTCGACAAAACTTACCGCGAAAACCGAGGTGCAAGAAAGCTAAAGTTTCCAGACTTGTGAGCCTATGGAGAATTGCAGTAAGATAGAATTTCAAGGACTAGTCTGTGAGATTAAAAGCGCAAGAAAGCCAAACTTTCCAGACCTGTGAGCCTGGAGAATTGCTCTTCGAAATCTCAAGGACTGCATGAACTACTTAGTGAGATTAAAAGCACTTCTAACTTTTACAGTCTGAAACGCTATAAAATGTCACTGAATTGGTATCTGTAGTGTGAGTATAACATCCAGTGAAAGCCCATGAGGACCAGCCATGCCATCCAGAAGTTTCATAATATCCACTCCCTTTGAAAACTATAACATAAAAAGTTGTTCGTTTTCTAATAAAATAAGCATTCTCAACAAGGGGAAAAGGCTCTTGTTTGTAATGGAAATCTTTAGAGCCATCATGTATAAAAACGTTCACGTCTTGGGAATGCTGGTAATATTTTAAATGGCACTTCATTTCAGTCTCCCAATCATCATCTGCACAATCTGGATTAACATCAACAGCGTGACCTTTCAAGCCAATAATAATCAAAGTAAGCACTGTGCACACAAAATAGCTTGCCATTTGTGTATTCGAATGGCTGATTTGGGATATTATTTCTGTCTATTGCACTAGGATACAAAATATTAAAGTTAAAAGTCCAATAAACAGCTAACCATATTTATTTTATATGGTAATTTAGTCTACTTGGACATGGAGTTCGTCCTGACATTAAGCAGAACCAAAATGAACAAAGAAGGCAAAGTTTTCCAGGCTGGAGCCATGGAAGTTTGCTCTGGATATAATAAAATAAAAATTAGAATTTTCTAAGGAACTCTGTTTTTATAGCTTTCAATATTGTAAAAAATCATTAAGCTGCTACTTAGCAGTAAATGCCGAGCCATGCCACCCAGATGTTTTATAGTATGCATTAGCTTTAAAAAAATTATAACACTTAAAGTCTGGCAAAAGAAATTTTAGAAACAAGTGAAGCATCTATTTTATGTTTGAAAGCTTGAGATTTATTGTATATAAAAATGTTCACAGGTAATGATCTAGATGACACTTCATTTTCAGCATTGTTACAGTCTGAATTAACATTATGAATTTTTGAGGTAATAGCAAGATTAACAATAGTATGAACTTTTGAAGTAAAATGATTGATATACCAGAAAATCATAGAAAAAAAAGTTAAATAAGTCTAGTTCTTTAAATAAAGAATTATTAATTTAATGGCTGAAAAATATAATAAAATGATAGGTTTCTAATAATTACAAATTATAATAAAATAAAACTCTAAATGACATTTTAGTTAAAAAATATAAAGTCTTGTCAAATATGTATAAGGAGTCAAATTCATTCTCAGCAAACAGTTGTGTGTTATGACTTGACTATATATTTGTAATTTTAGTAGGTGTTGAAAGTTGGAATTTAATTTTGTTATGAAAACATTATAAGATATGGAAATAAAACAATTTGATCTGAATATTTAAATATGATTGGTTATAACAAAAACCTTTATACTGTCACAGTCTATATATCCTTGGAAAAACTTTAATAATATAGTAATAATAATAATTATTATATAATTTAACACTATAGTTTTACTTTCTAATTTCTAAATGGGTTTAAACTTATTCTAATAATCAAAAACTTTATAAGCTTTTTTTTAAACCGCCATGTGGAAACGCAGAACTCGACAAGCTTGACGAGAGTCGAATCAACATATTCTGGTTCGAATGCTTCCCGAGCCATGGAGATTCCCAGCATTCCCACTGCCTTTGCAAAAGAGTAATGCGTGATTTGCGAGTATGGAGTGATAGCATTCTATAGAAACAGAGAAGATTGGGTCAAAGGTTGATGGAACTCTGGCGATAATTATAGACTAGGAATTTCCCAGCGAGGTAGTCTCGCGCAGTTCACGTATTAGCAGTGTCACTGATGCTAAGTTTGAATGTTTGACGCCAAAGAAATAGCGTGAACTCTTTAGTAGAGGAAGAGCCACACCGCAAGGTCCACCTACCAAAAAAACTCGTGTTCTGAGAGCCTCACGCACATATTCTCTCTCTCTCTCTCTCCCCCCTCGCCAGGAGCGCGCTATAAGTCGATCGATTGATTCACCAGAGGGTATCACCACCACGGCATTCAAAGGAGGGAGAGAGAAACTCTTCATCTATCGAATGGAATTCCTCGGCGCGAGGGGCTGCTTCTCATGGCGGCGGTGCGCGCGGGTGTTGCTGGCGGTGGCGCTGCTGCTGCCTCAGATGGCTCATCGCTCCGTCTCGTCGTCGCTGCTTGTTCCAGCGGAGATCTCTGCGTCTAGTCGCCTGGGATGCAACCAGTACCAGCTGCTGACGTGCTTGGGATCGCAGAGCGGCGCCCCGCAGGACGATTGCTGTGATGCCATCCGCAACGTTCTTAATCCAGGGTGCGTTTGCAGCCCCGAGTACCCGGGAAGAACAGTCATCAAGTCGCTTCTCCCCATTGCCCAGTCGTGCCAAGTGCAGCTCGACGTTGGCGAGCGCTGCCACCACTCGTGAATATATGATAGAAGTCTCTGAATCTATCCTAGTGTGTAAGTTCCAGTGAAATAAATTTACATAAAATTGATTAAAGAAAGGAAGAGAGAAATAGTTTCTTTATTTTAGAAAAATCTATTTTGATATTTCCTTAAATATCATAAACCAGCTAGGACCAATTATACAATAAAACCAAAATAGCAGCATAGAGATTATGCATTATTGATTATCAGATGATTGATCATAAAACTTTGAGATATAAATGTATTTGTTCCAAGTTTCTCTGCAGGACATAACATGCTACTTTTTATTATTTGTATATTATTTCCTATTCCAGCTTTGGCTGTAGCAAAGGTTACTTATGTTTTTCTCCTTTCACGTAATTACTAACAATATCATTATCCAGGATAAACAATGCACATATGGTGTGAATATTAAAACTGGCTGTGTTCAATGGGCCGGAACTGATGCTGATGTAGATGTAACATTCACTACACTATTAGGAGCCAGTGTCCAATTCACCCTGGATAATCCTCGCATAGATGATTTTGAGATTTGCTCACTATCAACATTCACAGGATTGGTAGCAAATTGCCTCCAAGCATTTGATCCAGTGTGTAGAATGGTGCTGCACCACAATAACAAAGGAAAGAATCCTGGCTGGTTTGTAGACTGGGTGGAATACATCCCACCATTCTCTCAAAACCACATGTCTAGGCCAGTGTCATTTAAAGTGAACGCATGGCTTCAAGACAATAGTCTCACATACACTGCAGATGCTTGTTAAGAAACTGATAAACTCACAATAATGATATGGACTTACTTTGCTTCAGATCAAACGATTTGATTTTGTTGTTATTGCTTCACGAGCTTTCTCTGGCTTTCCGACTCTTGCAGCGCCCACATTCTGGAGTACATTCCCTTCATTGCCAGGAGCTTGTGATGCGTGCCTTGCTCCACGATCACTCCAGCGTCTAGCACCTGAAAAGGTGGAAGTGGAAATGGAAATGGTTGATCGAGATTAAGGAACTAGAGGGGATAGTTTTCGCTACCAGGATTTTGTCACAGTGCATGATAGTCGAGAGGCGATGCGCGACAAAGACGCAGGTCCGACCTGTTGCCAGTTCCTTGAGAGAGTTTAAGATAGCCGCCTGCGCGAAGAAAAAAACTCAGACGGGACAGATGCAAACTTAGAAAACGGACTTCCGTTGTTGAATCCAGTGCACTGGTAGCTTCGTCACACACTAGTAACCTTGGGGCCTTAAGAAACGCTCTAGCAATGGCCACCCTTTGCTTCTCACCGCCACTAAGCTGAAAGTTTCATCAGTCATGGCATCAATAGTTTTTACCCTTTTAGAAAAAACAATTGTACCTTCAGGCCCCGTTCGCCAACAGCACTGTTGTATAAATCCGGCATTTGCAACACAGTATCGTGCAGTCTCTGCATCCATGAGTATCACAAAACACTAGAGCTAAAGGGGAAGGAAAAACGAAAAAAAAAAAACGCCTACCGCTTGTTTGGCCGCATTGACAACTTCTTCTTCTTTTGCCGAGGGTCGACCGTATAGAATGTTTTTTGAAATTGTGTCGTTAAAAAGCACCTGCAATACACCGGTCACTAATAAGGAGTAATTTCAGAATAAGGCATACCGTTTCCTGAGGAACAACTGCAACTGCCCTACGGAGTGACGCCTGGAAGTCCAACAAAATAAAAAAGAAGAACAAAAATGGAAGACATTGTTCAGACCTGTGTTATGGAACGTAAGTCTTGACCATCAAACGAAAGCCTGCCGCTTTCAGGGTCATATAGACGAAGGAGCAGCTTCAATATTGTAGACTTTCCAGATCCAGATGGTCCAACAATCGCTAGACTTTGTCCAGGAAGAACTTCAAACGAAACTCCATGCAAGACCTGTTACATGCGTTATAAAATGGAAGGGAAAAACAAACACAAACTTGGTTACTTTTCTCGATGAGTAGCTAAACTGGAGATCGTGCGCCTTCAAATGAAGTCCTTTGCTGTTGTAAGGAAGATCTATGGTACCATCCTTGAGCATCGGTTTTCGTCTGGACCAAACACTGTCAGTTAAAACAATGGATTCTTCATGTGAGATACTCAGAACCTTAAAATTCCGAAGAGGGACTCCAGATCAACAAGCGACTGCCGAAGCTCTCTGTAAATGAACCCCAGAAACTGTAAATCCATGTTGAGAAAATGTTACACCTTGAAAAGGAATTCCTGGTTCGCTATGTAAATTGAAAAAAAAAGGTTCGACTTGCTAACCTGTAGCGGTCCAGAGAGTTGAAGTATCAAACCATTAGCCAACACAAGATCTCCGACGGTGATAATGCCTTGAGACACCTGAAACCCCGCAAGTCCCATTACGACCGCGATTCCAACAGCCTGAATGAGAGCTTGACCCGCATTTAGCGCCGCTACCAGCTTTTCCGAGTCAAGCTAGTGAGGAAGAAATCAGTGACAATTGCGAACTAGATTGAAATCAGAACATACCGCTGCGTTTTGATAATTTTGAAGCAGAGCATCGTACTGCATAACTTCTAGCTTTTGATTGTTGAACTGCAGAGAATCATGATATCAAAGGAAAATGGAAAGAAGAAAACGGAAGTTGCAAACCTGTACAACAGTTTCGTAGTTCAGCAAGGCATCCACGGCTTTACCGGAGGCCATTTCGTCCAGCTTATTCACCTAGACAAGGAGCACCAGTAAATTAGGAGCGCAAACACACGATTGTACTTGCCTCCTTTCGACTCAATGCAGCAGCCTGCGTAATGTAAAACGTCCAGGCTACGTACGCAGTGAACGTTACCACTACAACAGCAGCAACAATCGGGCTAACTTGTTTTGCTAGAAGCCCGCAGACTAGAAGGAGCTCCAAAATTGTTGGTACAAAAGTAAAAACTGCAGAAGCATCAAAAGACGATAAGACTTTAGAACAAGAAACAATGGCCGAGGAGAAGACTTTACCTACAGCTCGGAAGATGCTCATCACACTTCTCTGAGCTCGATCTAGAATACGAGACAGGGCGCCTGTTCTTCTCTCGAGATGGAAAGACAGGTCGAGCCCGAGGACGTGTTCCAGCAGCTGAACTCCCACTCTGCGACCGGTAGCAAAACCGAGTGGAGCAAAAATCAAATACCTCGTCTCGTTGAGTCCTGCACTAAGGGCCTTCAACGCATGCCTGCTATCAGAAACATGCTAGAAAGGAAGGAAGAATACAGTGCAGCAAGAGTACCTTGCTTAAAGCCGACAAAACCAGCGCCAAGACGGCAAACTTCACCTGTTGTGTCGATAGAGCTTTGGCTGGCGCTTGAGCGAGGACGTCCATTCCCCATTTAAAGAACAAAGGACCCGCAAGCCCCGCTGCCTGTTCGAAACGCAAGATCATAAAGGAACAAGGAAGAAAAAAAAGAGAGCAAAGTTTTCGACATACTTTTCCAGCAAACAAAAAGCTCACAGCGACGATGAGCCGCCATCCCAAGTTGCTATCCCCGGATGCCAATCTCCAGAGGTAAGGAATGACCTGCGAATCAATCGGAAAAGAAGAAGAAGGACAGGCTAGAAGTTTTCCATCGAGAGAATTGGCAAGTTACCGTAGAAAGGGATGCCTCCACCGGTGGCGTCGGCAATGGAGCGAGAGGTGGAACCTTCGCGGGCTTCTGCTCGAATGGAATGGCAACATTACCAGAAGCAGCAGCGGCATGGATTGGAGGCAGGCAATGGCGACGCCGTTGCTGCTGCTGCTTGTGAGATCCTCCGCAAGTCCAGACGCGACGATTTGGCGTGGCAATGGCAAGCGCTGAGACAGCTCGAGCGCTTATTACGATCGTCATGCCGCCCTAAAACAGAGACTTAAAATGCAGCCCTAAAAAACTAAAGCTGGTGTTAAAGGTTTTAAATATTTTAACCCCGTGCCAATTCCCAAATCGATTATAATCAAGAGAATCTTTTCATTGTGTTTCACTCGGAGGAGCGCAAGGGGAGCTCGAGTTTCACATTTTACCTGTGAGTGTTTTAGCAGATAAACAATGCTGGAGATCCGTTTCAAACCGGGAGCTTACATACAAACACAAACACAATATATGCGTGCTGTTCTAGATTATTATGCTCGATGCGAGGTGGCCACACCAAGCATCTCTTACTGGGGGTTTTGTCTCGCCATGGGTTCCACTGAAGGAAACATCACCGCTATGTGGAATGCCCGAGACTACCTCGCTGGGAAGTTCCTAGTCTCCAACAATGACAATAACAAACGTCCCATCTATCGCCAGAGTTCCATCAAGCCTTTGAGCCAATCTCCTCTGTTTCTACAAAAAGCGCATTCTACTCGCAAGACACGCACTACTCTTTTGCGAAGGCAATGCTTGGCATGGATTTGTATGTTGCTCGAAGCCCTCTGGCGTTGGCGGTGAGGCCCCAGTGACGAGATCGTGACCAGGTTTTCGCTGTGCAACCAGGTTGTCAGCGGGGTAGTGAATCCCAGCACCGGGGAAATGGAGTCTCGTCACTACTCGCATATTTATCTGATGGATCGTGTCACCAGAGTGCTGGTTGACAAGCTTGTCAGTGACTTGAAGAACAGCAATGATCCATTTCCCTCCAAATAGTATAACTCTTTACCAAGAGAATGGTAATTCTACCGCTTCAAAAGGTTCAAGACATCTCCAACCAGATGAAGCGAACCAGTTACCAAAACCTGCAAGAAGAGATCAGCACTTCTAGAAAGATGGAAAGAAAAGAGCGAATGGATCTCTCCTTACGTTTACGGAGAATGAAGGACAGCTTCGCGCTAGTCGCCGTAGGAAGTTTAAAGCCACACCAGGAGACGGGATCACCATGCTATACTCCGTCGTACTCACTGCTTCTCCTTCTTCTTGAGTAGCGACCGGATTGCAAAACTCATCTCTACCCGCTGCTACAATAAATTCACATCGTTGTCAGTGGTTGTTCCTTCAAGCAGAAGCTTGAGACAAGAAAACGAACCTGGTGATTGAAGACTGTCCCAGCATTTCTGAAGATATCGCTGCCATTTCAAGTCCGATGTCGGGGTTCCGTGACTGTTGGACACAAACACCGCCTTGTCAATACGAACACCTGTTAGAAAACGAAGCTGTGAGACGCAAAAACAAGAAATCACGCAAGAGCACCTTGGCCGCGACACGCGTTCAAAAGGGACGGGAAGAGGATCGCCGGGTCTCTCTCCGGCATGCAGTTGAACACCATGATCTGCGAGTAGAAGCAAATCAGCGAGAGAAGATCACACGACTAGAAGTACCTGCTTTGGATTTTTTTGGCAAGAACTCTTTACAGCCTTTGAGAACCAGTTGCCGCACACTTCCATGCTCTCTGGACTGTGCGCACCATCCAAGTATAGCATCAAGTTTTCGAGATCGCGTTCAATCTGAGCACGGCCTAACAGTTGCGCGCTTGCTAGGCCGGTCTTGAACGCGTCAGGGAGATCATCCTAGAATGCATGCAAGCAAGAAAACAGTTAAGGTGGTTTCAGTGAAATGCGAGGCTTACATTTCCCATAGCCTCGTCGCTCCCCCTTTTCTTGATCCAGTGCTTGCACAGTGACACTGCCAAAGCCGCATTTACAAGCTGGTGATCGCCCTTGAGCCCAAGTTCCAAGTTTCCAGTGTCTGCTAGAGGATGGACGACTTGGAGTGGAATCTGAAAGAGTCACAGATCAAAGCTTTGAAGGAAAAAATGGATCTTACCGATAGATCAGCTGCTCGTGCTTGGAGGACGGCCATGGCATCCTCGCGTTGAGGCGAAGTATAAGCAGAAACCCGTGGCTGTGAGGTTCTAGGCATTCTCAGAAAGAACAGTTCCGAAATGTGGAGTAAATACCTTGAGGATTCCCGCTTTTTCCCCAGCAATTTCGGGGAGCGTGTGTCCTGGACGACCACGGACAATGCAAATCAGAGAGTTTTTCCAAATTGACACAGAATCTTACCGAGTATTTCCATGTGATCAAATCCCAAGGAGGTTATACCACAGACATCCGGTGTTTCTATCTGAGAAAAATTGCGTGTAGCTCAGTAGCTAGCATCAACCCCAGCATACCACATTTGTTGGATCATATTTACCACCGAGACCAACTTCCAGAATAGCGACATCAATCTAGAAAAACAGCTGCATGTTTAGAGGATTGTTTCAGGACGATCAAAATGTTTTGGTTCACCTTTTCTGAAGTGAACATCTTGAAAGCCAGCAATGTGAGAAACCGAAAGTACGAGGGCATAGGCAAGTTGGATTTGCATCCTTCCTGATCATCTCAGAACCAATCAGCCTCACAATATCTTGAGCGTTTTCTCACCTGTAGACGATCCCAGCACCACCAGAAATATTCTTGGAACAGAGTTTCCGACACTTCAGTTCTGGAACAAGCTCCAAGATCATAAAATTAAAAAAAAAATGCAAGAGACATTCAGGCATACCAACCCATTGAATCGAAATCTTTCACGAACGTCCACGAGGTGTGGCGACGTAAAAAGGCCAGTCTTGTATCCACAGGCTCTTAAAATGCTCTCGGAGAAAGCACAAGTCGATCCCTGTGGAAAAAAGAATCCCTACAATGAGAAAAAGAAAGAGGGAAAAAAATTCCACACAAACCTTTCCTTTGGTTCCTGCGACGTGAATGACACTGAGTTTCTTCAGAGGCTCCTCCAGCTGAAGGATCTAGAAGAAGAAAGAGAAATGCGTTGATTTGATCGAAAACTCCATTCCACGAACCTTAAGGTAATCGCCCATGAGTTGCACCGTCTCATTGGGGCCGGCAATCCTATAGCGCCTGGTGATGAGCGACGTAAGCGCCTCCCTGGAAGCCTCAGGACTGCTGCTACGGAGCTCCATTCTATCCAAAACTCAAACTTTAGGGTTCTTGGAGGCCGCCCAGGATGGATGCGGGGCAATCACTTCCACCACTTCGCCTGTCATGGGATGTTGGAACGCTATGCTCTCCGAGTGTAAGAAATGGCTCTGGCACTTCTCCCCGTTCCAGTGTAGCGGGCCACCATACTTGACGTCCCCGACCAGAGGAAGTCCCAGAAACTGGCAGTGGAGCCTGATCTGATGAGTCCGTCCCGTCAGAGGCACTGCTCGGATGAAAACTTCGTCGCCAGTGCCGGGCTCTGGATCGACCATCTTCGCCTCCACAACGATCCGCTGCTCTCCATCATCTTCTTCGCTGTCTTTCGCTTCATCCAGAGAGCTCGGCATGACTTCTATCTTCGTTGACATGTCTTTGACGACCGATCCATCCGGCAGAGACCTCTCTACGTCGTGCTTGGAGTAGACTCGCCAGCAGCCTCTCCTTGATTTGCCATGCCCCGATTCAATGACGGCTCTCTTCCAGTGGGGAGCTTTCCCGACGCAAAGCGCAACGTAGGACTTTCGCAGCTCCCGGCTCTTGAAGATGTTGGTGAGCTTCCCTGCCGCAACTTTGTCTCTGGCAATCACAATGATCCCACTGGTATCTCTGTCTAGTCGATTTGCTAGATGGAAAAAGCCCCGGCTCTCTGTTCTTCACGGAAAGGACGAAAGACAAAGATGAAAAGTGAGCTTCTCGTCTAGATAAAAAAGGAATGCTTACTCTCGATCGGGTACTGTGGCGAGTAGGAATCTCCCAAGAGCGATGGAACTGAGACGAGGACGTGCTCGGAGTAGACTCCACAAGGCTTGTTAATGACGAGAATCCATTCGTCTTGGAACACGACGTCGTCGATCGTGATCGCGGGGCCGGATTTCATGGACGCCTCTGCTACTAGCGCCCGCTCGTACTCGATCTCTTTGGCGCCTGTCAGCGGCGTCACTGGAATAGGGTACCTGGAGAGATCGATCGCCGCCGCTGCCGCCTCGCCGCATTCTTGCGATTCCACCGCCGAAGGAGCTGCCATTGCCACGGCAATCGCCGATCTGGAGAACGGAAGAGAGGAGGAAGCGGAGGAAGGAGTGGCGGCGCTTGCCCCCAATCGCGGGAAGCACGAATAATGGAACAGCGCCATCGGTAAGAACCCTAATTAGCAAAGCATTGCCCACATGGCAAGCTCTCATTGGCCACCTTGAAATGTATACCCTAGCGCAGGGTTTAAGCGATCCAGGAGGAATGGCGAGAGTTGCGAGCTGTGGCGGCGCGCTGTGCCTCTCCAGAGCAATGGCGAAGAGCATTGGAGCTCGCTACTCGCGGGATTTCGCTGTGAAATCGGTGTGCTCGGTGATCAGAGTGTCCAAGCGCTCTCTTTGGAGCTCCAGCGGTGCGGTTTTGGGGGGCTACACTCGCAAATCCAAGATTTCTTGCCAGGTTAGTGGATTTTCTCTCATATTTTCGCGATCACAGCCTCTGGAACGCAGCTAACGAAGAATGTGAATGGATTGAGAAGCTTGGGTGGAGCTTACGCTTCGTTTGCGAGTGATGCTAAGAAAGGTATGGAAGCTAGTTTTTGTCACAAAGAGTTAATTGTTCTTCCTTTGGTGACAGGAAAGAAGAAGCAAAAGAACTCCACATCTGCCGATCCAGCGTCAGAGTATTCCGAGAAGGAAGCAGCATTGCAATCGGCACTCGCTCAAATCAAGAGCTCGTTTGGAGACGAGGCTGTTATGTGGCTTGGAAGGAACACGTCCAAGCAAGTTCCAGTGGTTTCGACTGGATCGCTCGCTCTCGATGTAGCGCTTGGAGTGGGAGGTCTTCCCAAGGTGTGATCGATCGAGAGCATTTTTTTTTCATCTTTGGAGCTTACTGTTTTGCGCAGGGACGTGTTGTAGAGATCTATGGACCGGAAGCGTCTGGGAAAACAACGCTTGCTCTTCATGTTATTGCTGAAGCACAGAAGCAAGGAGGTCGGTCTTTCCACTTTCTCGCGAAGTGAAATAACTTACGTTACTTTTTGTGTTCTTTTACTTCTAGGAAGGTGTGTTTTTATCGATGCTGAGCATGCCTTAGACAAGTCACTTGCCGAGGCTATCGGAATTGACATTGACGAGCTGCTCGTGGCACAGCCAGATTGTGGAGAGAACGCCCTCGCAATCGCAGACACACTAGTTCGCAGCGGATCAGTGGATGTTTTGGTTGTGGACAGTGTAAGTTGTCATTTGAAGTTTGAGAAAGAGTGTAACTCTTCGTTTTTGCAGGTTGCTGCTCTAGTTCCTCGAGTGGAGCTAGAAGGTGAAATGGGGGACTCTCATATGGCGTTACTGGCTCGGCTAATGAGCCAGGCACTTCGCAAGCTTACACATTCTCTATCACGTTCACAAACCATTCTGATATTTATAAACCAGGTACTACAAAAATTCATTGCTTAAATCACTCAGACACGGGTCTTGTTTTTCCTACAGATCCGATCCAAACTTGCCTCCTTTGGAGGTTTCGGAGGAGCTCCCATAGAAGTAACTTCTGGTGGAAACGCATTGAAGTTCTATGCATCGGTGAGACTAAACATTCGGAGAACAAACTTACTCAAGAAAGGAGACGAGGTAACGATCTTACTTCCAGTCATTTCCAAAGATAACACCGCTATTTCACAGACTGTAGGCGCTCAAGTACTAGTCAAGATTGCCAAGAACAAGCTCGCGCCACCATTCAGAACAGCCGAGTTTGAGATCGACTTTGGCCGGGGCATCTCAAAAGAAGGAGAGGTGTTGGACCTGGGCTTCAAGCACGGGCTCGTGGGAAAGAGTGGCAATTGGTACACTTACAACTCGGAGAACATTGCCAACGGGAAGGAGAACGCAAAGAAGTACTTGCGGGAGCATCCAGACATTTTGCAAGCTCTGTCCGAGAGCTTGAGGGAGATCCTGATGGGAAGGCTATTAGAGCAGCAGGGCGACGCTGGAGAGAACGAGACCGAGGTGGAAGGAGACGAGGATGGAAGCCTAGAAATGCTTGCCAGGTGATGATCTTTCCTTGGGTCGATTTTGGAGTGAGACCCTCTAGCTAGTAGTGATAGTGTAGATCGTTCTTGCTCGTTCTTTTTGGACAGATTCTTTCCAGCAGACTAAAACTATAGCGTGATCTTTCATCGATGTTTGGTCGAAGCTTGCTCGATCGAACTTATTAATAGATTTGGGAGTGTTACTATGAAGCCAGGAAATCGTTCGCAAAGTTGACGAGAGAAATACTGTCCTCCGGTGTCCTGGAACCAAATTCAATAGGAACTTCTTCCCCGCCGCCACTGCTCGTCACCCACGTAAAGCTGACGTTCTGTAGCGACAGGCCATGCGCCCTCTGGACAAACATTCCCGATCTCTTGTCGTGGGAGATAAGACCCTGGCATCCCGGTCTAAAGTCCTGCATCCCTCCATCTCCGCTATAGCTCGTCCACCTCTCGATTTTCAAATCCACGTCCACAAGTTTCACGCTGTGAATCACAGCTCCATTCTCAGACGCCGCGAGAAAGATCCCATTCTCGGATCGAGCAGTGATGTTGCGAAACTCGATCGAGTGGACCGATCCCACCAGCGTGAATTCGTCTCTGGGACACACCGTCACATAGATCGGCTCGGCTCTCCCCCACCACGACGGATCATAGTATCGAGTGGACACTACAATGTTGGCGAAGATCACGTCGTAGACACTCCCGGCGTCCCGGAGCTGGATCCCAAGTCCGCGATGCGAATCAACGATGATCAAGTTTGAGAATCGAAGGTGGCGGAAGTCGAAGAAGGTGGCGCTGCCGAGCTTGACCCCGCACGACTTTGTCCGTACCCAGCAGTCCCGGACGGTGAGGTTGACGAGCGGTCCGTACGTCGTCTTTGGGCAGATCGCATCGTCGCCCGTGTCAATCCGGCAGCGCTCGATCACCGTGTTGTTGGATCCATCTACGTCGATACCATCGTTGTTGGGCGTGTCGAAATCGCCCAAGATTGAGATGTCGTGGATGTGTATGAAGTTCGAGTTGACCAGATGCAAGCTGCGCAAAGTCACAGCTCGGTCAACTATGGTCAAAATATAGTCAACTATAGTAAAACGTTTAGTCAACGTAGTTCTTACCACCAGTATGCCGGCTGCCGGAGATCGATGTTCCAGACGCGAATCTTGGTCGAGCGTAGAAATCCCACCAATCTGGGGCGGCATTCATCGCCTAGGCAGTTCCCAGTGACATTCCAGCTCGTCATGATGTTCTTCTTTGGATCATATCTCACCACAAACTTGGAGCTCTGGCCGTTGACCTCACCACCGCCAGTGATCCCCACATTCTCTACGCCCTCGGCAAGAATCACATACCATCGATCCTTCTCGGGAGGATAGTCCATCTGCCTGGAGCTTCCCAAGATCTTGGCGCCATGGTCGATGTGGAGCGTCATGTTGGATCTGAGGAAGAGTGTTCCAGTGAGGTAGGAGCCTGGAGGAACCCAGACGACACTCTTGGAGCCGAGTTTGTTGCTGCGAGAGTGGCAAGCATTGATTGCTGACTGGATTGAGGAGGTTTCGAGCGTTGATCCATTGCCAAGAGCTCCATAGTCTCTCACGTTGCATTGCACTGGTCGAGATGGGATTGGAACTCCACTGGAGGAAATGAGAGAGACAAAGAGGAGGAACACGACCACATCTATACGATGATGATAGAGTTCCATTTCATGGCTGTGGATAACATCTACGTGTCTATCATAAGGCCTAGTATAATTGAGTGAACTCAAATGTTTCATAGAGTAGTCGTGGCATGAAAACTACCCCACCAGTCAACCACCCCACTGCACCAATGGCTGCAATTGCCCCTCTTAACCCCCACTTAAAGCGCACTTTATAAATGCCTTTTGTTCTAGTTAAATCCCTCTCATAAACCCAATAAATTTAACCGACACGAAATGAAATATGTAATATAAAGGTGGTAGAGGACTAGTGGCAGAGACCCCCAATATAAAAATAAGTCCACACAAATAGGTCCCCATTATTTGCTTATTTAGATTTGCATGCCAACTTATTGGTTACATAGGCATGCCATTTCATTACTATAAATTAAAGATTGTTCTAGTATATTATTTTTAATTATTTAAAAGTATAAAATAAAATATACTATTTATTCTACTATAACAGCATTATTCTGATTGTATAGCTTAATATGACTACATAGAATATTAAATGAAATTTCCTTTCTTTCAATATATATTTTTGGCCAAATATATTCTTGAAAGTAATAGCTGTATAATCCTTTTGTTGTACCATAGCGAGGAAGGGATCTTTTCACTGCATTCTATGTCAATTCAATATAATTTGTATGAACTCCAATCATAGGATTAACAAAATTTTGGGAGTGGTTGACTGTATAATGAGTGAAGTTTAATTGATTCAACCACTCTAAATCATAACTAGCCCAACAATCACTATATATAAATTCTTCCTAAATAATTAAATATAATTATTAGTTAAGAATAATAATAGAAATAGAACTTACCTGGTTCAATATATATATATAAAAAATATCAATTAAAGTTTGTGCAATAGCAACCCAAACCATAAACATTGGATCTGAATCACTTTTAATTCCTCCAAAAACCCATTAACCTTCTACTTTTCTACCATGATTATATTTTTTCTTACTAAACTTACTTTCATCAATTTCCACAATTTTTTATTGACCACCAATTTTTTAACTACCTCATTGTAATTAAATATTACGATAAAAGTTGTACTAATTTGTTGTCGTATGCTCACTTTTAATACTACACTCAATACAAGTTTGATCTTGTGGCATTTTAATGCATAAACAATACATCACTCTAAGCATTTGAGCAAATGTGAGATAATTATTTGCAAATAAAATATTAATTCTAAAAGATCTTGTGGTATTGCAATTTTTACAATTCCACTTCAAACCAGGAGCTCTAGGGATTGTGGAGAAGCAAAAGACCCTACTCGAGCATGGGGATGTTTGTGGTGGTTAGTAGCCATCCAACACTAGAGATAGAGGCCTAGGAGCTCCAAAACATGTGCTTGCTTAACCATCTTTTTTGCAAAAGTTCTCACTTCTTTCCCTAGGATTGGATTAGCAGTGGAGCACTATAACCAACACTCTAGAGTAGTGGAGCACCAAGTATGCTATGGCTTTCCAACAGCCAAAGTGCCATGGGAAATTGACCAATTTCCAATTGCTTTTAATTCTCTAGTGAGTGTTTACCATTTGAATTTGTAGGCACAGATATGGGAGACTGGGTGCTGGGGCACAAGCCATGGACAGCATGCGACAAAAAATGTTTCTTGCTGGCCCAATTTTTTTGATAAACTTCCTGAATCAATTAATATAACTAAGATGGCACTTACTCTGTCATACAGTTTTCTTCTTTATGTATATGGTTTGGTTGATAGATAGAGTAGCCCCTAACCAATTGATAAAGGCAATTCTTTGTTTGTACTAATGTATTGATCAGGCAATTTAACAAATCTATATAGAT